CCCCCAAATGCCCCCAAAATTCTCTGTGTTCTGCCTATTCATACCTCCCTCCCCCTTAAACCCTGAAAACCATTGAGCCTTTTACTGTCTCCATAGTTTTGCCTTTTACAGAGTGTCACATAGTTGGAATCATATAGTATGCAGTCTTTTAGATTGGCTTCTTCCATTTAATAATATGTATCTAAAATTACTCCATGTCTTTTCATGGCTTGAGAATTCATTTCTTTTTAGTGCTAATATCCCGTTGTCTGGATGTACCATAGTTTCTTTAGCCATTCATCTACTGAAGGACATCTTGGTTGCTTCCAAGTTTTGGCAATTATGAATAGAGCTGCTATAAAAATATATGTGCAGATTTTTTTTTTTATTGTTAGTTTCAGGTGTACAGAACAATGCAATAGTTACCCTTTTCACCCTCACAAAGTAACAACCCCCCTCCCCTCATCCCCTGCCCTCCCACCCCCGATATCATGCTTATCTATTACAATTCCATTGAATCCGTTCCCGCACTCTACTCCGTGTCCCGAGGTTATATGTATATATAATTATAGTTGACATACAGTATTATTCAACATCAGTTTCAGAAATACAATGCGGTGGTCAGGCCTCTACATCAACTATGAAGTGGACTCCCCAAAAGGGCATTGGTCCATCTGGCCCCCTAAGAAATGCTTACAACGTTATTGATTGTATTCCTCGGACTATCTTTTTCTATCCCTGAGGCCATATTGCAATTACCAATTTGTATTGTCTCATCCCTTCCCCTCTCCTTCATCCCCACCCCCTCCCAACTAACAACCCTCAGTTCTTCCTCTGTGTCTCTGAGACTATCTCCATCCACTTCTCCCATCCATTCAGTTCCTTAGAATCCACGTATAAGTGAGATCATATGATATTTGTCTTTCTCTGACTGACTTATTTCACTTAGCATAATGTTCTCTAGTTCCATCCATATTGTTGCAAAGGGTACTATTTCCTTCTTCTTTATAGCTGAATAATACTCCATTGTGTAAATGTACCAAAGTTTCTTAATCCAGTCATCTACCGATGGGCATTTTGGTTGTTTCCAAGTCTTAGCTATTGTGAATAACGCCGCAATGAACATAGGGGTGCATATATTTTTTTGGATTAATGTCTTGGGATTTTTTGGATAAATACCTAAGAGTGGGATTGCTGGGTCGTAAGGTAGTTCCATTTTCAGATTTTTGAGGTGCCTCCATACTGATTTCCATAATGGCTGCACCAGCCTGCAGTCCCACCAGCAGTGCACCAGGGTTCCCTTTTCCCCACAGCCTCGCCAGCATTTGTTGTTTGTTGATTTATTGATGATAGCCATTCTGACCGGGGTGAGGTGGTATCTCATTGTGGTTTTAATTTGCATTTCCCTAATGCTAAGTGATGTTGAACATTTTTTCATATGCCTGTTGGCCATCTATATGTGCAGATTTTTGTGTGGACATAGTTTTCAACTCTTTTGGGTAAATACCAAGAACCAGGATAGCTGGATATTATGGTAAGAGTACATTTAGTTTTGTAAGAAACTTCCAAAATGTCTTCCAAAGTGGCCATACTGTAACTGAATCCAAGTTTGTACCGCTTGCTGCATGACAGCCAGGGAGTCGAATGACAAGGTGTTGGGGTAAGGAAAGCAAGTTTATTTGGAAAGCCAGCAAGCCAAGAAGATGGTGGGCTAGCATCCTAAAAAAACTCTTAAGAAAGTACACAATTCAGGCTTCTTTTATATCAAGAGAAGGGGGGAAATAGATGCGGCAAGAGGGGATTGATGACAGTAGACTTCTGGGCACCAGCAGGGGTTTGAGAAAGATTGTGAAACTTCTTTTTCTTAGTCTGTTGACTCTAGTTGATGTGAGTCTGGTCACAAGGTTCCTGTGAATCTTTGGTAAACAATCAATATTTTTGCACATACTTCCCTATCTCAAGACTTGGGAGAGGCAGTTTCTGGTAAGGGGTTGTTTTTGTAAAACTCCAGCTGCAAGCAGAATTCCTCTAATGATTAACATGTCTATATGCATGACTAAGCAGACGCTATTAATGTGAAGGCCATGGGAACAAAGCAGGCTTGAACAAGATGGAGTCAGAGAGGTTAAGCATTTCACTCTGTTACAATATCATTTGGCATCCCCACCAGCAATGAATGAGAGCTCCTGTTGCTTCACATCCTCTCTGGCATTTGGTGTTGTCAGTGTTTTGCATTTTGGTCATTCTAATAGGTGTGTAGTGATATCTCATTATTGTTTTAATTTGCAATTTCCTATGACATATGGTGTTCTGCACCTTTTCATATCCTTATTTGCCATCTGCATATCTTCTTTGGTGAGGTATGTGTTCAGATTTTTTTTGCCCACTTTTTAATTGAGTTGATGGTTTTCTTTTTTTCTTTAAAATTCGAATTAATTAACTTAAAAAATTTGGGGGGGTTGATAGATTGCTAATTGTTGAGTTTTCAGAGTTCTTTGTATATTTTGGATAACAGTCCTTTATCAATAGGTCTTTTGCAAATATTTTCTCCCAGCTTTCCTAGCATTTTTAAGTTGACATTTTCTAAACTCAGCATTCACTTGATTTTTGTAAATATTTGACTATTTTCCAGAGTTCTAACAAAGTTGATTCTGGTGGGTTTTGCTTAATTTTTCATGTTTTGTGGAGAGGTGGGTCTTTGAAGCTACCTACGTATTTTCATTGACATCACCTCTGTTGCATTTTTGTTTGAACTGACCCTTGTATGTTGTTCACATGGTGAATAACAGTCACAATAGGATATACAGAGTTACCGAGGGAGGTGTTGAGATCCAGGACAGGATTCTGCCTAGTACTAACATAGCAGTTTCCAAGACAACAGAAAGGAATGAGTCTATTCTGCAATAGCCAGAGCAGAATTTCAGGAAAGTCTTATCTCTCTCCTGGCTCACAGTGGTCTTGCGGCCATTTGCTCTGTCTCCTGAGTACTGGACAACAGAGAAGTCTTAGAAAGCTGGTATAGGGAAGGTGAAGAGAAATGAGAGGGTGGAAGGAGAGATGGTGTTGGAGAAAATTAAAATCTCCTGCCAACCCAGAAAATCTTTTCCACAAATGTAGAGGAGAAAAAAATAGTTTTATTAGTATTATTATTGAATAAACATTAAGTCAGACTGCGAAATGCATTATAGGCAATCTACTAATGAGATTGCAAAGACCAAAAGTAATATTACTTTTTATATAGTTGAGCAGATACAACTTATCACAAACATGTTCTCAATATTAATGGTAATTTGCCCTCTTCTAAGAAGACTTGACAACGTTGTTTGCTGTATATTTTTTCACAGTTCATCCTAAATTCACCTGGTAATTGGGTAACTGGGTTAGTTAATTGCTTTTATTTGAAAGAAAATCAAACTCCTATCTCTGTGACAAGCAGATGGTGACAGTTTGGAGCTGCACACCAAAGCTAAACTCCCACAGTGACAGGAGGATAGGGACAATATCTTCCTTAATGTTTACATTTCAAAGAGGTGATCTTTAAGGAAAACATTCCTAGGTTGTAAAGCTGGCAAGATACTTTTTTGCCTTTAAAAAAGATTTACATATATATCACAGGGGCATATTTACAAATATATAGATTTCTCAAGGAAGTATGTAAGAAAAGGGAGGAAGGAACCAGTCTTTTTCTTTTTGACAACGGTGAAAACTGAATTTAACTTTCACTTACCATTACAATTTAAATGCTCTTCCTATGAGCTGAGATAGGTCTGCTTTGCAGGACTCATTAAAAAAGACAACAGGCCCCCAAAGAAGTCACTTGTGCTAAGCCCACGTTACCAAATCAAGACTTAATGTCTGATTTAATTTCAACCTCTCCCAAAAATGGAATCTTAAACCAATCAGTCTGGAATTAACTTGTAAGCGCTAGCGAGGTAATCCCCCATAGACCCCCTGCCTTCCTCTAAGGGGAAGGTGACCTTGCCTGAAACAGTCCACTCTTTGCTAGTGGCTTCCTTGGCCCCCCCTTCACCCACAACTTCTGCCTATAAAGGTCTTCCATTTTGTACAGCTTCTCAGAGCTCCTTTCTATCTGCTAGATGGGATGCTGCTCAAATAGTTGAATGAAGCCAATTGGATCTTCAAATTTCCTCAGTTGCATTTTGATTCTTAACACCTGGATCCTAGATAAAAGGCCATAGAGCAGGCTCCAGCTTGGGTGGGGCTTCCATCTTCCAGGAACTGGATAAGCTTGTCACTAACTTTGAGAACATGCACAAGGGCATCCAAAGGAGGGTAAGGGCTCAACTGAGACCTGGGGAGCCTGCTTTTTGCCTTCCTGGTTTGTTTCTCCTGCCAATAAAGTGAGGATCCCCACAAGGGTGCATGGGCAGCACAAAGCCACACTTAGATGGAGCTCACGGAAGGTGGCATATATATATTATACAGCTTAAGCCCTGGGGATTTAGTTCGGTTAACGGCGGGAAAAAAAGCCCAAACACAAGCCTTGCAGCCTTCGCAACTGACCACCCAGACGCGCCGAACAGAAATGCCTTAGGAGCCTAGACCTCCGCCGACCCAGGAGCCGGATGCGATGGTTATCTGCTGAAGGTGCTGAGGAGGTTTGTGGGCAGTGTAGTCTTTCCGGCGAATGGGAAGAGGGAACAGATTTCACCCCGGAATCACTACTTGTTTTATGCATGGGTATCTTAAGAAAAGAGACGGGTAGGTTGTCTCTACAGAAGACATTGTAAAGGCCAATTAACCTTGCGGCTCGCCGCTCACAGGGCGGCCAGTGGGAGGCGGGGCTAAGGGGATTCTGGGAACTGTAGTTCGGAGCGGCGGAAGGCTGGATGGATTTACATGCTGGTTCTGGTGAGCGAGGCACGTCCCGGTCTCTTACAGTGCTGGGAAGAGGGTCGGGAAAGGCTGGTCTAGGGTTAGGGGCCTGGGTAGAGTGAGATTGGTGGAGGAGTGCAGTGGCTCAGGCCGGCGGGTTGGGGAGGTTTCATTTTTGTAGAAGGGGGTGCGACCCGAGACGCGCATTTGGGGCGGGGAAATGGGATGAGACTCAGCCAGCTGTGAATCTTTGAGTTGCTGGGCGCTACGCGGATCTTCCTTCCTTCTCCGGCTGGGGCGAGTGACTTGGAACTGTAATTTCCTTTTGAAGGAGGTGGGATTATTCTGGGCCAGACAATTTCTGAATAGGGGAGGCAGCTGCAGTCATGCATCCCGGGGTTTATGTGGGCTGTGGGCATGAGTTCAGCCAGGGTAAAATGGACATGTCCTGTTAATCTCATCCAAAAGTGCGCGTGGGAGCGCTGCTCCGGTTCTGTATCCCCGGGGTATTTCTAGCAAAAGAGTACTTACTTGGTTCCTGCATCTCAGAAAGTTTGTGAAAACCCAGGATTGACCGTGAATGTCGAGTTTTGTTTGTTTTGGTGGGGCTGAATATGGCCCAAGGGGTGATTGGGAAGGGGGGCTGTGAGGGGAACCATCTAAGGCTCTGCTGTGCCTTGGTTTGTTAGGGGTGGGTGGATGGAGGTGAGCTTGATGTGGGCAGAATATCCCTCGGGGGTTATGGGGGGAATGTCTTGGGTCTGGAGTCCCTGGGCCTTTTAGGGGGTTTTGGCCTAGGACAGACATCTAGGCAGTTTTTTGAGTGGGGGCGAGTCAGGTTCTTTGGGACCTGTTGTCCCAGGGTTTCTTGTGAGGCAGGGGCCCCCTGTGCTTTGTGGCAAAGAACCCCGGTTTGGCTGATTCCCCCTTTACTTGTCCATTTTTCCATCATGTATTGGGGTCAAAACTGGTTTGGGGCTTAGGGGAGTTAGGTAGGGTGGGGACCTCTGGGGGCTATTAGTCGACTGTTCAAATTACTTTCCGCATCTGGTGGGTTCCAACTATCAGGACTTTAATTTTTTGGTATGGACAAATCTTAAGCCTACCCAGTAGAATAGTACAGTGAACCCCCATGGACCTGTCACCAGCTACAACATTTATTAATTCCCGGCCAATCTTGTTTCATATACATCCCCTCCACCCTATTTGTGGATACACTTTGAGAATTGTCACACCTCACAGGTGCTGGTCACGACTGACATTACCACTGACTCAACTGGCTAAGGGCATGGCACCCCACAGCTAGAGTTCTAATCTAGACACTGTCTAGCTCTTCAACTTGAACAAGATTCATAACTCTGCCTCAGTTTATCATAAGACCTAACTTATGGGGTCTTTAGGAGGTAAAACTTGTACAGTGCCTGGTATATGGTAAAAGTTTTTAGTACTTGCTAACTATTACTAATAATGTTACAACTTGAGACCCATAGGCACTGATTAGAAACTTTTACCTCTCCCTAAAGAATTTAAATCTGGGGACTTGCCCATAATAAGAATTATTACCAGAGGTAACTTTTTACGACCTATGTCATAGGGCAGGACAAACATTTAATTACTTAACATCTGTTTGTTTTTTTTATCATCCTGCAAATGACTTGCCTCCTCTCTGAAGCCCCAAGTCACCTTACCTGGTCCTTAGCTCAGAATGCCATATATACCTCATTTTCCCTTTCTGTCTCTGAATTGCTCATGTATGTGGGGTTCCCATATGTACATATGTAAATACATTTGGTTATTTTCTCTTGTTCACCTAATCTGTCTCATGTAGATTTGTTAGACCAGGCAGAAGAACCTATAAAGGTAAAGGAAAGTTTCTTCCTCCCCCACAGCACAAAAAGTGTGGATTCCGAATTACTTAACAGCATATCAGGGCAGGCTGTGCTCTGATACCCACACTTGGCTCTGTCTCCAGAAGTTGTCTACTTTCTTCTTTGACAGATCTGATTTTTTTTTTTAAAGGAAGAGGAGCACTCCTCATTTTAAACTTGGGGATTTCTAGCCTGGTATCTGGGGGCTGAGAGACAGTGATGAATCTCACACTGCCTATTCCATCTTCAGGACCACCTTCTCACATCCCTGCCAATGTAGGACTGTGTAGAGCAAGTGAGCTCCTGGCAGCCCACTCACCTTTCACATTCCTACAGTGTTTTCTGTGCCTGGAACCAGGGGCAAATTTCCTTTGCTCATCCTGACATCTTGTGTCTTGAAATGTCCCATTTGAGGCTTTCTGAATCTTGTGAAGGCTACATTTTTTTAATATTCTCTCTTGTGGCCCTTGATTAAGCCATAAAAAGAAAAGGCTTATTGGTTTGAGCTACTATTAAGATCCTACTTGTCAAGGCCAGATGATGAAAAGACAGTATATATATGTGTGTGTGTAATATATATATATATATATATATTTGTTTGTTTGTTTTTTTAAGAGAGCTTTCATGTTCTTATAATGGCTAGTCCTTAAGATTCCCTCAATAAGATGGAAGGACAGAAGGGCCGGCCGAGTGGCTCAGTTGGTTAAG